TTTATAGTAATAATAATAAAAAATCAACTAGTAAGTCATTTGACTTTTTTGACCGAAAAATGGATGAAATTCGAAAAAAATTAACGGCAATGACTAAATTGGTGATTTTAATTAATTTGGGGACTAAATTGACTGATTTTTTAGTTTAGGGGGTTAATTTCTACAAGGGTCATAATTCAGAAGGTAAAACGGCTGAAAATCTGGGGTTTTGTTATAGGGGTGGAACCTCAACTTCCTTCATGATATCAGAGCGGGTTGTCCACATGTGAAAGTCCAATGGCCACACATGCCCTACGTTACCCAAAATGTGTTGTTCACGTGTTAGACTTGAAAATTCACCACACGTGAGGAGGCGTGTGAGAATGTGAAGGTAAAAAGTCTTACATTGGAATAGCCCAACTCCTTATAAGAACTTGACAAGGTTTTTCCCACAAATGAGAAATTAATGCTTAAATTTGAATTTGAGAGTGTGAATATGATGAGCAAAAGAGAAGGGTTGGAGGAAGGTTTTTTTCTTTTAAAAAGAAAATGCTATTTCTTTTGGACTCCAAAAAAGGAAAAATCTTTGCTTGCATTGGATATATTGGTTTGAAATGAAGGAGTTGAATTTGGATTTTTACTGTGAATTGTTTTGTAAGACTTAGAAGAAGTGTTGATCTTCTATGTTAAGAAAATACACATGTAAATTTGTTGCAAACCATTTGATACTAGTCATACTGAATTATTTTGATATTTTTTCTGCTCAAGACTTATATTATGCTAGATCTTTTTTCCTTCACCTAAATTCTTGCAAGTTCAGTTTGTTACAAATTCATGGTCTACTAAGTCTACTCATAAAAATATTATATGCAGCAAAGTAAATGTAGTTTTGTGTACCATCTTCCCACTTCAAAAGTCTATAAACCTTTTTCTTTTTTCACCACATTATTGGTACTTTAACAACGAATTTGAATGCAAAGAGATTTATTAGTATTGGTCAACTGGCCTAACCCACGTCTGCATTATTTTTTGTTTTTTCAAGACAACGTTAACCGATCAATTACCATCTTGCAAGGCCTAAGGAATGTAATGGACAGAATTCAAGCAAATATTATTTGAATAATCCATGAACAAAAGAACAAACTTAAAGACCACAAAGAATCACGACACAACAGATTTTATGACCTATATTTCTTTATTGGCTTTCCCTCTAAAAGAGTACATCTCAAATTATTGACAGCCAATATATTATTGCAAAATACAAACACAGATTATTGGTCTAATTTGTGTGACCCAACATGCACCCTTGTGCATGGACATGGCCAACCCCAGTGATCAAGTCGTTTGTGGTTTATACTTAGGTTGGATCCTAGCCAGAAGTGGGAAGAGCCACATACAAAATAGATTATTGATCCCATTTAATTTCTTAGTAATTAATTAATTAATTAGTTTTAATTGTGCCAGTGACTTGTGCAGGGTTGGTAAGTGACATGACTATCCAAAGGCTTGACCCTAGTGCTTCATGATGGCAACAAGTCGTTCTTATTAGAACATCGATGTTTCCTAATGGATGCTGCCAACCAACTCGGCCATCCATATCCTATTATTTTTGTTGGAGAAACGACAATAAGTTTCAATTCATAGCTAGCTTTCTTTTGAAGTTTGAGCAATTGGGTGGTTACAATGGAAGGGATTTAGAGTTCTTGGGATATCAAAATTGAAAGATCAAAATTATACAATTAGGGCATCCCCTCAAATTGTGTATAAAAACACTTTTAAGAAGTAGGACGAGGGTTTATAACTCTAGTGGGAGAGTACTTATCGGTACATACCTTCGACTTACTTTATATTAATCGGTTAATTTTATTTCCACCTTTCTTCCTTTTCTTAAGCAACACACTCTCCTAATTCCCTACATGTTTATTTCTCGTTAAAAGCTATATGAGTTTATTAGGAACAAACAACCTTCAAAGAATTATAGCTTGATTATTAACGATCGATTCTATGCCTGCAAAATACATGGCGGCCATAACCAAATTGCATACTGTGCATGTTCTGCGGGCACTTTATGTGCAAGCGAACTCAAAATTGTTTCTAGCCAAAAGCTTACCTTTGTGTAGGCTTGTTAATAGTCAGACAGGACAAGTTTTGTAATTAATTAGGGGCTGAGCGTTTTAAGATCCTGATTTAGGGTTAATATCCAATAAAAAATTGGTCAACGCATGGGTGGGTAGGTGGTCTCATAACCTACAATCATTCCATTGAGAACAACTTCTCCTACTTCACCTACCATATTCTCACATATACAATCAAAACCCAACTCTCATCTTCTCCTTCTTCCAACCAGGAGAAATCAAATCTAATGTTTTAACTCGTGACAACGGGGTCTAGTCCATTACAAAATAATGACCTTGATTTGTAGATCAGTGGTCTCAGATTTGAACCCTCATGACACCTTGGTAGTATGTGTGTGAAAAACCCTCCTCTCCTTGTAGTTTAGATTATCACTTATACTAAAAAAAAAAAAAAAATCTTAACTTGTAATTACATTGAAATTTTGATGCCAATGATTTTGGGATCCAAATGGATATTTTCCTTGCTCAAAAGGCCTAATGGTTACTTTATTTTTAGAATCTTAATAAGTGTGGAATCGTTATGGATGAATATTAATCAACGAGATCAAAGCACTAACAAAATCATAATACTTATATCAATTATACCAAGTTACATTCCCAATCCCGGCCAGTTTTTCAATCTATAGCCATTACAGCCCTATACCACTTTTGACCATAGGGCATATATATAGCCTTTTCTTTTCCTACAGTCCAAGCTAGCTTTTATAATATTGCGTCCTTAAAATAATTTAGTTAAGAATGATGTTTTGATAATTTATTATTAGCATATCAAACTGTTATGATCTTGTGGTCCTCACAAAGTCTCTTGCCTGACTTGTTCCGTAGTATACTTTAGAGATCATAAAAGATAACAAGCTTGTTAACGAGTCAAGTTAAAAAAGGTCTTGACTTGTAGATTAGAGGGTCTCAAGTTTAAACCCCCATAGCATCTCAATTTTCCGTGTGTGAAAAATCTCTCTCTCTCTCTGATTTAAACTATCGCTTCTACTAAGAAAAGATAACAAACTTAAATTATTATTTTTCTGGTTAATTGTTAATTTCTTCCCAAAAATTCTCCAGCAACCAAATTCTTCACATCGTCCAAAAAATTTCCCATGTGTTTGCATATTAAATTCAAAGAAAGTTTGTGCCTCCCTATAAAGTTGTGTCCCTCTCTCTCTCTCTCTCTCTCCTAACTTTTCCCTCAAACCACCTTATGTTCAAGTGAAGTAGCAGAAGATATATTTTTAAGTCTAATTGGTTCGAAACACAACTGTTAAAGCTTCTGTCTTTTGACATTTTGCATTTTGATCTGAGGCACTTGCCGCGCTTCTCAGCACCAATCATGGAGACCAAGCCAACAATAAAACCGACACGCACAAAAAAAAAAGAAAAAGAACCAGACATGGCTAATTAAGATATATGTCTATCTGGTTTTCCTTTTTCTTAGTAAATTACATAAAAAAACATCATTTTTGTCATTACTATTTAAAATAAAACAGTCATCGAATGTGCTCTGCAAATTTTGAAAGCAGGTAATAAATAAATTGCGTATGCAAGTTGTACCACGTCATCATACTGAGCAACAATTCATCGAATATTATGTATTAAAATAAAAATAAAATTCTTCAATTCCAATACATGCAATGGAGTTAAAACCAAAACAAATCATATTTTGTAATATGCATGAAGCCTTGTGAATAGTTAAACTCACTACCCTAATGACATTGTATGACTCTCATAAGTTTTTATATGGGATGGGTTTACTTTTGTTTTAATCAAACAATATTAGAATGAAGATTCGAACTTGAAACCTCAATTGTAGGGATAAATATTCTTAGTCATTAGTTACGAGCTCCGGCTATCACGAGAGAGGTTGGGATATCCTTGCCTTCCATTATTATATGTATTAATTTGCGCTGGACACGTAGGAGTAAAAACTAAAAGCAGGAAAAAGTTGAGAGATACCACAAAATATACATTGCTTTACACTGATATTGCATGGTGGTTTTGAAAATGAAGTTTACAGGCAGTGTTTTAGATATATATACTATTGTATGTACGCTATGTATTTTGTCCTACCCCTCCTTATTTTCTTGTTTGTTTACAATAGCATCCGCACGATAATAATGTGTTTGCGAACATCCGGATAAGATATATATACTTGAAAATATCTTTAAAATGCTTTTTGAGCCAATCTCTTAGATTAGAATTAGAAGCCAACCGAATTTGACATGAAGGCTTGTAGATCGACCAGATCAAAGATTAGATCCTTTTGTCCACAGCTTTGGAGACCATACATTATCTCACTCTTTTCTTTCCCTTCAACTCATCATTCACCTCATTTTTACTGCCGGTAAATCCATGCCGCCAGTGGATAACTTTAATCGAAATTTTAACCGAATAATAATTTTTTATTTGTAGAAACAAAGTATAATTAAAAACAAAAAAGTGGATTAACAAGATCCAGCTTTTTGACTATTAATCCCTCCATATATATCGTATCATATATGATATATATATATGTATGTGGTGCATGAAGATAGTGTTATGTTCAAGTAAGGGAGGTCCCCACATGGTGATGAGAGAATGTGTAGAAAATCTGCCTTCACTTTTAAGTACCTCACCTCATCTTCATCTCTTTATTTCTTTTTCCATTTCCCTTGTGAAACACAACGCCATCTTTTTATTTTCACACCTTCTACGTTTGGCGTGACTTGCCTTGCCTTGCCTTGTCTTGCCTGACCTTGGTGCAAGACCCTTAGCAATCAGAAAGATGAAATACTCTACCACTAAAATTATAAGCCTTTATGCAGTATCTCGAATGTGCTCAAACATCATTTACTAGATATACAGCAAATCGGAAAATAGAAAAAGCCAAGAGATAATAGAAATTAATTAATATTATTTTCTGATGTAAACCCCCAAACCATTTACTCAAAAAAAGAAAAAAAAAATAGCTAATAAAATTCTCGCCAACTCTTTTTTTTTTTTTCTCCTTCTTCTTCTTCTACTAGAAATTACAAAATCAAACGATTAGAAATGGCTCGATTTCTGTCGAAAAAGGTAGTCTCATACACAGGCAATTCTTCACGGTACCTTTCTTCAACCCCAGCAGTATCCAACTCAAACAGATCAGAGCTTGCATAACTCTCTGCGTCATCATCTTCATCTTCTTCAACATTCTTCTTCTGATAATTCTTCAACAACAAGTAATCTCTAGCAACTTGCTCAACTCTACGACGGTGTTCGTCGTCATCATCAACCTCCATTACACAGCACTCAAACCTAATATCTTCAATTGTTGGAGGTTTCGCGGCTTTCTCCTTCGCCATTAAACCCGGCTCTGCTTCATGCAGATTCTTCTGCCCGCATGGCCGACAGTCCTCGTCCACAATCACACTCACAGGGCAGAACCTCACTGACCTTTTTGCGACATCTCCATTGTTGCTGCCGATGCCACTCAGCTCGCTTCTCGAAAGAGGCGTTTTTCGCAGACAAGACCTCGAAAATGAAGAGGCTGAGGAACAAGTGCTGCTCGAGTTTGAATACCCCTGTTGTCCAGATTTTGAGGATGATTTTCTCTCCGCACCCAAATCATATGATGGTTTTCTCTCCACACCCAAACCATCAATTTTGGACTTCTTCACATGCCCTGCATTAAACAGAGAGTTGAGAAAACTCGCGAGCCGGCCACCCGGCGAAATTGGCTGCCTCACCTTCTTCAAATCGCCGTAAATCTTCAGCGCTTTCGATTTCGTCTTCACGAAACTGTTCTCGTTTTTTGTCTTCTGTGAATTATGGTGATTTCTCTGCTCAAATTGAACCTTCTCGGATGAAATGCTGGTTCGAATTGGCTTAGGCCTGTGCATGCTGTAGCATGACGACGATGACCTCGATTTTGATCCGTACATGGACTCTGACTCGGATGAAGAAAACCCACCACCGCAGCTCGAGTCCGAAGAGCTGGAGCTCGAATTCAAAAGGAACTCATTACGATTGTAGCTCGACTTTTTCGTGTCAAAATCCGCCATGGAATTTCGTCGAACAGGTAAGGACTTATCAGTCACTTTCTTCTCCATCCACTTCTCGATCAAGCAGGCTCTTCGGAGGCTCATAATTTCGTGTTCCCGGTCTTCTTTGAAGAGGCCATGGCGGCCACTGGTAGTAGTAGTAGCAGCAGCAGCGGTGGTGCTCTGTTTTTTCTTCGTGGTTTCTTTGTAGAAGATAAGGTGTTGTTGCTCTTCTCTTCTTGAAACTCCTTCACCGGTGTTGGGTTCGTCGATCGAACGGTAAATGGTGTCGAGGAGAGTGGAGGAGAAAGATGGGTTTTCTCTACTGTGTCGGTTGCTTCTAGCTTCTCGGTTTTTTTGCAGTGTTTTGATATTCCACTTCTCCATTTTTGCCTGGTTTTATACTGGTACAAGTACGAAATTGGGAAACAGTTGTACTGGGTTTTCAATGATATTCAATTATGGAGGTCTCTCTGTTTTGTCTGCTGTAAATAGAGAGAGAGAGAGAGAGAGAGAGAGAAATAGAATATGGTAAGGCCAAAGATGATTATGGGAAGGACATTTTGAAGACAGAGACTCTAACTTTGCTCTGCTTTTGTTCTCTCATCACTGTGTCTGTGTGTGTGAGGCTAAAGAAGAAAGAAACAAAGAAAAGAAGGCATGGGCTTTGATGGGTTTTTGATGGCTTAGAGAGAGAGAGAGTGAGAGAGAGAGAGGGAAAGAGAGAGAGTAATGAAAACCAGAGGCCACGCCTGTTCGAACAGAGAAAACAGAGAGCACAAAGCAAAGTAGACTGATGAGAGAGAGGAGAGAGAGAGAGAGAGTGAGGGTTCTCTTTTTTCACACGGTCTTATAAGAGAAGGGGAGCGAAAGGGCGAGCATGCAGAGTCCAAGCTGGAGTGGGGTCCAGCCTTGAAATGATGACGTGGTATATTATTTATTTGATTAATTAAATTAAAAAGGGATTCTCATAATTTCTGCCATTATTGGATTGGCTTCTACTTCTTCTTCTGCTTTGCCTCGCTCGCTGCTCTCAAATATTCAGTTGAGGTGACCCCAAGATTTGCTTTAAAGCTTTAAAGAAAAATAAAGGGGTTTTAAGTATTGATTAATGTCTAGTGTAGGACATAAACACAAGATGTTGATACTAACGTTACTAAACACCTTTTTATTCATTAATTAAGCTCCCTTTTTTATTTCTTTAAATTTTCCAATTTGTACAAAGGGAAATTTGCATAAATATCACCTGAACCTTTAGGCAAGTACACCATTAGTACCTAAACTTTTTATTTTTATTTCTAATCACATGAGCTTTGTAAACTGTTGTTATCCACCATCTACGTCTAATCCCATTAAATTTAAAGACATTTTCGTCAATTCACTATAATTACAAATAACTATAATAAAAAAAATAAAGGGATATGGGAAGTAGAGGTTTTCCTACTTACCAAACAAGTTCACACCAATATTCAAAATTTTCCAACAAAAATCAAAAGGCTTTGGAGTTCTTTAACTTTGTAACATAAGATTGCGGATTTTGGTCATTCCATTCAGGATTCCCATTCACATCCTCCCTTATGTGCAGATTCTGCTGGGCGCTGAGATTCTCTTGCCTTTGGATGCCCTCGAGGCTTCTCTCTATACACTTTTGATTTTCTTATTTTTTTTTAAAAACACTGGAGGAAGATGATGATGGGGTTTGGAAGGTGGGAATTGGGCGTGAACAGTTATATGATTAAGAAGTCGAGTAGAGTAGAGATAGAGAATTATTGCCCTTGCCCTAGCTGTTTTTGCATGCTTCAGTCAGCCTTGGACAGTCAACTAATGCGGCCTCACTTCTGCCATGGCTAAGACTTATATGACGACGATCACCTCAAAGCACATAAATAAAACGACCAACTTGTTCAAATTAATTGCTGCCGTTGACAAATTTCTCTACTTTTTGGTAAACAAATCAAATCCATTATTACCAAGACCAACTACCTGCTGTATATTATTGGTCCCAACATGTCCTTGTTGTACCAATAAACATGTGATATATAGAAATTATCCTATGCGGATATATGGATATTATTATCGTGTGGACGTCATGTATTTTGTATTACCATTTTTTGCTTTCATGTTTATTTACAACAGCATCCGCACAATAATAACGTGCGTACATCCGGATAAAAGAATAACTATATATATACATGTGTAATACATTCATGAATGTATGTAACTTTTAGTTATGTTGAAAGTTGAAATGATATATTGATCAGAACAATTTTATAACCCCAAGTACCGATTAGAAGTTGGGTGTTCAACATGAATTCATATCGTATGATAATACCATTCATCTGATAAAGTAGAATGAACTCGCCGGATTTAACGATTGTAAGAGCATCTCCAAGAGACTCTCTACTTCCTTATCCCTAGCTATTTTAGCAAAAAAGAAGGAAAAACAACCCTCCAGCAGCTTCGCTACCTCTCTCGCCATTTTGGAGATCGCTATTTTGGCTCGCTACATGTAGCAAGGGGGAGAGAGAAATTCAAGGCTCGCCATCTCGTTCAAACCCAAAACTTCAAAGTCTCCATCGTTTCTCTGTTTCTCTCTATTCTCTTTGTCAAAGTCTCCATCGCCATCTCTATTCTCTCTGTCAAAGTCTCCATCGCCATCTCTATTCTCTCTGTCAAAGTCTCCATCGCCATCTCTATTTTTTCTATTTCTCTACCCTCTTTGAACTCTGAGGTGGTATTTCCAGGTGGGTTTCTGGGTTTGAAATTTGTATATGGGTTTCTAGGTTTTTGCTTGGAAGGGTTTGGGTTTGTGCTTTAAATTAACAAGTTCCTTTGCAATTTCTACAATTTGAAATTAAGCGGCTCTGATATGGGTTTGTATATGACAGTATTTGGGTTTGTATATGAAAGTATTTCTACAAGTTCTGTTGAAAGTATTTGAAAGTACTTGAATGTCTACAAATTCTACTGCAATTTCTACAATTTCTAAAATTTCTGCAAATTGTGATTCTCTGCAAATATTTTTTAATTTGCTTTTCTGCAAATTGTTAGATGTTTAAATTTTAAGAAATAATAAAATGGTTAGCCAAAATAGAGAGCATTGCTGGAGGAACCACCTTTTTAGTGGTTAGCTATTTTAGCTTTCTAGCTACTTTAGCTAGAATTTGAGTAAAATTTGGAGACTCTCCTGGAGATGCTCTAACTGCATTCAATATAAAGTCTCATGGCAAAAAAACCCTTCTAAGTATTTTGATTTATTATTAGCCAAAATGTGTTTTTAAGAGAGAGAGAGAGAGAGAGAGAGAGAGAGAGAGAGAGATGCATGTTCTTAGTGGGTAGTGCTTATTTGTACAATGATTGCACTCGTGGCTCTAAACTTTTCGGCCAGAGAGTGGTGAGCTAGAGATAGAGATCTAATTAGAAGACACCAAAACGAATAACTAAGTGAGCTTAGCTAGATGTGATTTGATTAATCTATCAAAGGATTAGGACAAAGAGAGAATGTGTAGATAGAAAAAAGAGAGAAAAAGTAAGATTAAGCTAATACACTAAACAAACAAAAAGTCCTCCCAAAAGCAATGTGCGTGTGCCGTTGGCTCTTCTTCCCTTCCCTCCCATTTCCTCCCACATGTATTCCCTTCAAGTCTTCAAGCTCAAGAAAATTCCCCATCATTGTATTCTCTACTTCGTGTATATTTATAATCCACAAAACCCTACTACTTTGCCCATATTAATCATGCTTTGCAGCCATGAAATCCCATTTCATATGCCAAAAGTTTACATATTAATCAACTAATGCGGTGGGGGTGGCTATCGAGTTTAAACATACACATGAACAAAAAGAAAATGGTGGGTAAAGATTTACACTCTAATAAGCTATATATAGAAATCTGACTATCAAATTGTTTAGTTGTTTTACCTTATGTTACACTCATGCAATGGGATTAATGTATTTGATTTGTACTTTATTACAAGTAAAATATTAATTTAGAGACTATATTGATATGTTTTTTATTGGTTCAAAACAATAAGGAAAGCAAAAATCGAACCTCTCAATACAGAGTAGCTATAAAGTGTGTTGAATTAGCGCATCTATAGATATAAAGTGCGTTGAATCCTCTTTCTCCGGTGTTTTAAATTAAATTAAATTAAAGTAAAATATCGCTTTTTTTTTTTTTTTTTTTTTAAGAAAACTTTGAGCTTCCAAATTCTTCATCGCATGTAGATGGTTGGTACATGCCCTTGTGGTCTACTACTAGGTATATAATACAGAGTAGCTAGGCTTATTATGAAAAAGGATTGAGAGATTCCTTTCATTTCATGTCACGGGCATGGGGTTGATGTGAGAAGTATGAAGCAAGAAGATTCCATTCAGGTCATGGAATGACCATTTTGGGGACCCAAAAACTAATTGAATGTAACATTGACATGGCCTAACCTAGAAAAAGTTCAATCTGTACCGCACATTCCCACCACCCCATCATCCCCACTCAAGAACGTACGAAGACAATACTCTTGGTGGATGTATATTTCAGTTTCCACTACCATCTAACCCAATTAAATCGATTAATTAGACATGTCCAAGGACATATATGGTACTAAGTGTTGGATGATTAGTGAAAACTCATATTTCAAATCGAAACGATTGTCTGAATTTTTACGTCTAAACTTATATAACTATTGAGGTAGAGCATTAATCCTCACACTCAAGACTTTGAATATGAATTCTCATAATAATAAAAAAAAGAATTTTTCTTAATCAAAATGGTTTATGAACTAGTAGCACCTTCTGATCCCTAAATACTAGAAGTACGTAATGAAAACCTAATTTTCGGATTTGGGAAGCAAAAGATTCAATTTGTTTGGGGACATATTAACACAAAAGCGTTGTATATGGTGGATTTAAACATTTATGCTTATGTTTCTTGTATGATAGCACATCAATTAATTTGTTCTACACATATTTATACGCACTCAAAATAGGACCATATATTCCTTGATTTGATATTTTGGTCTTATACATGCAACACCAACTTATTATGTACCCCCAAGTGGGGTTACGGTGGATCCACAACAGATGTGAAAAATTCATCGCATCAATCAACTTCAATTTTCATGAATGGAGTCTAGCTCAGTGAAAAAAGACTTTGACTTGTATACTAATGATCTCATATTCGAGCCCCATGACACTTTGCAGTATGTGTAAAAACCCCCCTCTACACCTCAACACTACACCAATATCCTGCGTACTTGGAAAGGATGGTTGAAAATTTTAAATTAATTTGGTCCATGTTTTTCCATCATTCTTCTCAATCTTTCTTTTCAGCCTTGCATGGGTCACCCAACTCATAGCGAGTAGCTCCTACTAAAACCATAGATTGCTTTGCCCCCATCTCAATCATCATATTGTAAAGCCAAGGCTACCATATATTTACAACTCACAACTGCATAAACAACACACAACTATATAAAAATGCCCCGCCTGCACTATTGCTCATCATTCAAATCCTTAGCTATACTTAGGGTTTGATCTTTCTTTAACAAATGGGTCCTAGTTAATTATGTGTTATGTTATGTACTGATATTCAATGTGCATGATCTCAAAACTGTCATTGCAAACCCTCAATTTAATTTTATAACCGCTAGATCTTAAATCGTGGAATGACATCATTTTGACTATATAAACACAATATCGATATGCAAAATGTGTACACAACTCTATTTTCATTTAAAACAGTTAACGTATGAATCAATTATTTTCATTTATTTTCTCTTCTAATGTTAGAAAATATCTCAACTTCGAAACCTAATAAGTTTGGATTTCGGAATCAATTATATCCAGAAAGGAAAAAAAAATCATGAATGAAATAAAAAGGGTAGGTTATGGGAGCATGCGTGCGAAGGCATATATGAAAGAGGAGACGACCACCACCAGCAGAAGTTACTGCAGCTTTGGTTCACTTCTTAGTGATGAGAAATACAAAACGAGAGAGAATTTTATAATTGTAAACCGGATTGAATATTACCTAAAAAAGGCTAGCCAGAACATGTAGCTTTTTTTTGTTTTTTGTTTTAATTCAAGCAAGATTGGGGAGGGAGGTTTTCTCAAACACACACTGCAGGTGTCATTGAGGTTCAAACCTGAAATCATTGGTCTGCAAGTCAAGGCATTTTTCCACTAGGCCACACCCCCCGTTGGCGAAATCATGTAGTATTTTTTTTAATGCAAGCGACAGTCTAAACTAGGTATAGGCACGAGTCAGTTCGGAACGGTAGAGGGCTCTTTCGTTAACCATACCAAAGTTTTCAGTGGGCCAATTTATCTTCCATTACCGAATATTAGGACCTTTAACCGTTCTGATCGGTTAACCGAATATTCAGTTCAAGTTGGTTCGGTAGGCCGATATCACCATTTAACAAAAAAACATACTAATTATGTAATAAAAATACAATTTATAATCATTTCACATAACATAAGTTGTTGAACAAATACTCCAAATTATCCATGTAAAAGATAATAAATAAATCAATAAATCAATAGTCTAATTCATCCAAGTACGAAATCAAAGAAATTAATTTTAAAGTTACAAACGAACATGAAAAATACATAATAAAATAGCAAATAATGTTTCAAAGCACCATGAAATTAGTTTCAAAGAGCCAAAAACTACATTAAAGAGGCTTAATAATCTTCATATTTAGCCACTAATAAGTTGACACGTATATTAGTATTTAAATAGTAGCATAATTATAAATATCGGTTCGGTACAGATTTTCATTGAGTTAGGGATATTGTTACTTGATCTTTTAACTAAAATTTTCGGTACCAATTAATCGAATAAGAAGAATTAAAAATAAAAAATAATAATTTTACCAAACCAAACCGTCAGTTCAATATGGTTGATAGGCAGATTTTTCAGATGAGATGCCCACCCCTTATCTAAAACTACAAGGGAGAGGGGGGTTTCTCACACACACTACCAAGGTGTCATTGAGGTTTGAACCTGAGACCATTGGTCTGCAAGTCAAGGCCCTTTTTCATTAGGCTAAACCTGTTGGCATTTAATTTTAAAGAAAAGTACCTAACCTACAAATCTAAACTAATTATACTAATAAACACTAACCACATCCACAAATTTGATTTTTGAAATCTCACCAACCAATGGTTGATGGGTTTAACCAACTTATGAATTTGAAGAGAGCTTGAGGCATTCCTTAAATAAACTTAAAGGTACCTTTGTAAAGTTCATCGTATATTATATTTCAATGATTTATTTTGAAAGTGCTAATTCATAGAGTATTTCTGTAAAAAATCATCCAATCACACCTAATTTAACCTATGATTAAATGCTAGTTATTATATCTTTGAAAACATTGTTTTCGTCCATTTATTTCATCACAATTAAGTTTTTTTTATAAATATTTTAATATTATTATTTTTTCCAAAGATGATTTATGAATGAAATTTTGAAAAATGAACGATTCATACCGTTAAAATACAATATCAAATGAGTCCCGCAATTCAGATGATGGAATATTACTTTTAATATTATTATAGGGTTAACCATACAAATATTCAGCTTTTGAAGAAGATAACCTATGAATGATTATGATAATATCACCACCAGATTATAGAGAACTGAGCCAGAAAGCTTGTAGACAAGACAACTGAATTCCCAACGGCTGGATGAGCAATATCATAGGCCATAGCCAATGGATGCAGCAACTTGGGAAACTGAAAGCTCATCTGGATTTGCTTAGCTAACTTATAAACGTGGGGCTTCAGCTTCAGCTTCAGCCTTGTGGGGTTGTAGATAGCTTTGTCGTGTCATGTGTGCAGAATCATGAAAGACATAACCAAAAAAAGAAAAAAAAAGTGAAGACTTGTGTTGGCAATCCCGAGGTAATGAGAACATTTCTAAGATCTCTTAAAGAGAGCAATGACACAAAGCATGAATGATAGCTGCCACTCTCCTTTCTCATTAGTAGAATAGAATGGAGAATGGAGAATGAAGAATAAAGCCAACCTCTTCCCCTTCTTTCTTCTGCTAAAAGCCCAGGTCATAACCATGTCTCTAGAGGAAATAAAGCACCCTTCTCCTTTTTCTCTTTTCTTTTATTTTACTGTAGAGAGCTACAGTTGATTTCCTTTAGATTGTTCTTTCGAATACATTTTTTTTTTCAGGAGAGGCAATTTCTGACCGTCCATTGTACGTGAGCCTCACATGCACCAACGGTCAAAAATCACTTTACATACATTCAGTCAGAAATGGCTTATGCACTCAGTAGACAACTGAACACACAGCACAACTCCTCAACCTATAACCCCTCAAATTGTTTGATGTTTTACACAGCACAACTCCTCAACCTTCTCCAGCCCCCAAATTGTTTTACTATTTTAAGGACAAGAAAATATGGATATCAATAGGACCTTAGGTATGGCACACGAAGAAAATTGAAAAATGGAACACCACATGAAGCATTGATTCATTAAATACGAAAAGATTATGGGTTATATTCATTTGACAAAGAAAAACCCTGCTATACCTCTACTTCAGCCCTTACAACCAAGGAGTTAGATTCACATTTTCCTTTTACTTTTTTTGTTCTTTCTTTGTTCAGAAGTTGGTTTGCCAATTCATATGGTTCAGTTGGGGTTGCTGATATGCACCAACCTGTGCCCCAGGAGCAGCTGCTGCCACCCCAACTCCAACGTTACCACCCATAGCAGGACCCAAATGGTGTGGATTGGGAATTGCAGCAGGCTGAGAAGGGTGGTACAAACCTGGGAATTGCATGTGGGAAGATTGGGCTGCAGCTGCATTGAAGGAAGCATGAGCAGCGTGAGATGGCATATAAGCACCATGAGGTGATTGAGCAGACATGTTGTAGTATGGAGTGGATTGCAGGCCTGGGTGCTCCCTTGGGTTCTGAATCCATATCTCTGATGTCTCAGCCTGTCAGGTCAAATGTAAAGAAAATAATTTAAGACCAGATGTGTTGATGTGATCAATAATCAATACAAATGAGACATTATCAAACCCTCTCCGGCTCTCCCGTACGGCATTGATGGAACATTGATTCCAACCCAGCTAAATATAATATTCAACAATTAAAATCAATTTTTTTTAACGCAAATAGTTTATTGCACAGTACTCTAATTTTGGCATTCATTGTGTCCCTACAACAAATGTTTAATTTTACCTGTGGATTTGGGACATAAAGATTGCCATCTTTGTACTTGATTCTAGATGAATCTTCGAGCCCTGAGGCACCTCCAACTACACTTGGGGCATTGATTGCATACCCATTAGGATTAGTAAAATTCCCGTACCCTGTGGGACTTCCAGCGGGGACAGGCTTAAACGGCTGAACTCCATACTTGAGGCTGTTCGCATTTAGGTGGGATCCACCTCCAGGCATCAGCAAGTAGCTGTTGCCATTAGACATGTGAGGATAGGCAGGGTTGCTGGAATAGCCAGGCACGGCCATCGGTGGAACATAAACTGGTGAGAGAAATTGGCGGTATGGCATAAGATTAGCATAATGTGAAACATGAACTTGTGGGTACATCTGTGCCACAGGGGGGGGTTGCTGTTGAACCATGGCAACTGTTGATGCAGCGATGCTGTTGACATTATGTGAACTCAATGCCTGTAATCATAGAAAATAGCATCTATCAAAGATGTGCTATGAGTTGTGGAGAAGAAAAAGGTAATATTCCCTTCACTATTGTTTCAAAAATGCCAGGAAAACAAATATTTCATTACAGGGTCCCCTACAAAACATGAGTAGATTTTGCACACAAATGGGTATCAAGTAGCAGTTTTAGTGTGTCAAATGGAAAACAGGTGTTTTAAACAGGGTTCAGTGTGTAGGGCATGTACATAGAAATGGTAGACCCTGTCCCTGGGCTTTCATCAATATCACAAAGGTATCAAGCAGCAATTGTAATGCATCCAAAGGCGTGTCTAAAATGTGTAGCAGTAACTGTAGTACATATCACAATAAAGTAACCACTTAAACCTACCTCATGTGGAGATGGCAGACCCTGTCCCCGTACACTTTCATCCATATGCGGTCTGTAATAAGGTATATTATAACTAGTCTGAGGATCAAATGCCTGCTTCAAACACAAAGCGTCAGAATGGACATTCACAAGATGTTGTAAAAAGAAGGCATTGTTATGTTGAAAGAAAAGAAGAAAAAAAAAAGAGAATGTTATAATGCACATATACGTCTTTCAAACTGAGGCCTTCTATCAGCATAGCAAACAATGAAGTTTTAGAAAACACAAAAAATCACACTTTACACTCATCAGATCAGGAAAATTGGTTGGCAAGTAAAATTTGAAAGGTGACAATAAATTTATATATAAAAGGTGGCACTAGTATGAACAATGTACTCACCGAAAAACCTTCTAACTCTGGTTGTTCTTGCTGCTGTGAATCTGAAGGTGCATAGGATGGACTGGTGTCTCGAACCAAACCAATATCCGCATAATTGTCTAAAGTTTGAGGACTTGAGGTCTCGTTTTTCTCAGGCAATTGACGCTCAGGCACTGCACCTGATGCTGGAGAATCAGATCCAGAATTTCTAACTTGGTGATCTAACAAATCTACTGGCTTGATGCCAGAAGCCTCATCACTGCAGGACTGTGGAGCTGATAGTGACAAACTGCACAATAGAGGCATATATAAGTCGAAGGGAATTACCCAAAGATCTTACCACTCTTATTTTGCTTTCTTAAAACATGTTTTTCACTTCGCAAGTGAATAAAACGAGAAGAAAAAAAACACAAAATTTATAGATAGATAGCAATGTAAATACAGCTACACAGCAAGGAGATGGTAAATTAATAAATGAATAAATAAATTCTTAAAATTACATCAGCACCCCCTTCATTGTAGCAGAATTGATTCAGAAACTTTACCGTCCATAGAGTTGGATACAGTTCAGAAAATGGATCTTAAGAATATTCATATTTTAGATTTACCAAAATTTGAACACTTGCTTACTACAATTAAAGATAACACCTACCTTCCTGCAGGTTCCCCATTTGACTCCTCTGTACCTCCTGCTTGAAATCCATTAACCATATTCCCTGTTGAATCAAGCTCCGTTCCCAAGCTTCCAAATGTTAGCCGAAAACGATCACTGTCCGGAACCCTAATATTCTGTGCTATGACGACGTTAGTGTTATCATATATATTTACTCGCGAAAGCTTATCTTGCAACTTAGCCGCTTCTGACTCTGAGACCTTGGAATTATCAGAAGGAGATGAAACAGATTTTGTTGGTGTTCCAATGACTCCAGGGCTATTAGAGCTTGGCTTTTGGCTTGACTTAGGTTTCCATTCCTTATTAGGCTGGGAAGCTGCATCCAGAAACATGATTAAAACTCTTTTTAGAATTTTAAGTTAGACAAAAGTGAAGACAAATCTTCTCAAACAAAAATGCAAAATATGTTAAATAAAAAAATTGTTTTGGTAAACAGCAAAATTTTCTTCAATGGTAAGTCAGTGGTTTTCAAAAGGCACATACAGATATGACAGCACACAGAAAGTATGTGAGCATGTACCACTCTCATCCCACGAGAATAGCAATGCAAATTCCACCTTATCTACTGTTGGTTTTTTATTTATGACAATTTTATCTACTGTTGGTTGACTAGTAACAATGCATTGGCTGTCAACATCTTCCAGATTGTTTCAGATTTGGCAGAGAACAGGTTAATTTTCACACCTCCAAAAAAATTTAACCAAATAACTCTTATGTTTTCTGACAAGAACATAAATTTGTTTCACATATTTCTGCTATTAAAGTAATTGTGTGAATATGACCAAAAAAAAAAAAAAGTAATTGTGTGAAGACAGATTTATACTCAAAAGGAACTTCACTAATTTTTTATCCCATTCTTAAAGCAAACATACCTTTCTGATGACCCACGGGTTGTTGATGCAGCCTGGCATTGTGCTGATTACTTAAGAATGGTCTGCTGACCGACATGCTAGGCATCACAGATTCAGAGGTTTGGCCGACTTGATCAGTTTTAGAGATGCCAGTGAAAGGTCGAAATGACTCCGTAGAACCCTCTTTTCCCAAAAGTGAATTTGAGAGAGAACTACTAGGTGCAGATGGATTGGAGTTTTCAGAAGATTGCCTCCGAACACCAACTTCCCGTTTAATAGCACCAACAGAAGCAGATGGTCTGGAATCCGGAGATGGCACATGAACAGGATCTGTGGAAGAAGAATACAACCCAACAACAGAATTGCTCGACACCACCACTGCAGAGTGTGGTTGGGAATTGCTTGGCTTCACTGCTTGCACCCGCAGAGCTGCAGTTGGAAGAGTAACTCGCTTCTCCACCAATGTCTCTTTTCTTACCGAACCAGTTGCATTAGCATCACTGGTTCTAATTTGAGGATCAGTTTGCCCATTCAATACTTGAGATGAATTCTGTCTGCTAGATGGCTTTTGATTACTTGAACTTCCTGTTGGGCTGACAGCAGACCAAAACAATCATCATAAATCAACACATTAATTACACGGCTAAAACAAACACATATTTTTCAAAACTATTAAAAAATTAAGCGCGGGAAAGATTCTTGTTTAAACAACTGAAGTACTAATACAAACTAACCGCTGAAACTTAAGGCCTTCTCAGTTTTCTCTGGGTTGCTACTTTGCGTAATAAATACCCATATTTACTGATGTCATTTTATCCCGCAATAAGAAGAAATAATAATACCCCTCCTTACTTCCGTGGGTCATTTTACACCCCAGCAAGAAGAAGACAAACAAAACAAAAACAAAAAAAAACAAAAAAAAGAACCCACCATAAGATCCCTAAAGTCTGTATCTTCTTTATCATTTTCGCATACATCAAATCCTAAATGGCCAAGCTTCATCAGGTGAGAAGATTTCATTATTTCGAATGCTACCAGTTCTCCTTTTCTTGATATCTCAGTTTCTATTTCTCAATGTGTGACAATACACCCAACAGATCTCTATATCAAACAAAACTCTAACTGCTGCTACAGTTTTTTAAAATACAACAATATGGTGGTAATTATTCATCCCAAAGACTAAAATATAGGTATACATATAATAGACACAAGCATAGCAGAACATACCCCTTTTCAGAAATATTTGACACTTGCTCATTGGTGGATGTTGTACATTGTGGTGAAGCAGGCTTGGTTTCTCTATTGATATTTCGGTTAACTCTGTTGTCTCTCACAACACGAAACTCTCTGCTGATTCCTGTACCTAGTAAGATTATGTCATCACCAAGTAATTCAAAGGAACATTACAGAGGAGAGTAACATAGCCAGCAACACTGCAACAAAGTTCTTTGGAAACACATCATGCAAAAAGTTTTCGAAATGAAATCAACACAGTAAACATGGCTATATAAAGTTACCATTAGTAGTATCAGCTGTTGTTTTGGGATTGTTTTCAAAAACAGGGAGCCTGTGCTTTTAAGGAAGCACATAAGCGTGTGTTTACTAAATTCTTGCCCAGGTGCTTTCTACTTGTAATAGGTGCTTTTAAATTATATCAGGAGATTCTGTTCAAAAGCTACTGATGCTTTTGGTTTTTTATTAGACATTTACCCTCACCTTTATAATACACCAAAACAATCAACATGCATTCCTGATTGCTCGGTTCATTTGGTAATGTTTAATTCCACAACAGTTCTATCACAAAATTTACGAAACTATAGAATTTACCAAACACTCAAACAGTGCTTCTGCTTAATTTCAGTAGCTTTTATATGATATTAACAAAACACTTGTTCACTGGATTTATACTAAAGCTTCTTTAGAATCTTTTTAAAAGCCACAGAACCCCAAAAGAAACCCTTGAATTACAAGTCGACAAAACAGGGACCAGGTTGACAGTAAAAAGGTGACTTGGCCTTGTCCTCAACCTGAAACCAGAATTAGTTCTAGCTTCACTCTCTAACTTCCTTTCAACCTCTGGGCCTACGGAGTCCATCCCACCATCCCCCAAGCACCCCATTTAACATTAGAAATCTAGTGCTCCCCTAAAAGACAAAACACCTTTTCCTGCAACAACTGCTTGGGATACAGCAAGGCTTATCAGAATCAACAGTTCAGGCTCCTCATTACCCTCCATAGCTGACATCTCAGCATTCATCCCATTTGTAACTGGATTCCATATTGAGAGAAATTGCAAGAAGGGAAGGTCAAGAAAGCACCTACCACGGTAGCCAATCCCCATTGCCTCCTGCTTGCTATTACAAAATAATAATGCTTGTTTTTGGAAGGAATATAGAATTAACTTCTTATTCAGTAATGTCGAAGGGACCACTGTAATTGGTACCATGAACCACGCCATTTCATCTTCTCACAGACCAGCAAAGTCCCATCTGTCACTCTTCACAAACACTACTATCTCCAGCTTTGAAAGATTCAGCTGACCCGCTGCCCTTAACGTACCGGGAATCTTTTGTATGCTCTCTGTTCAAGGCGTGACCAACTACCATCGCATAAGAGACAGCAAATTTGTTATCCATTTTTATAGTATTGTACCTAGTTTTCCTAGTCATATCTCTGATTATGTTTCTCTGACATTGTTGAAATGTATCACGCTCCCCAGCCAGAATTGCATTCATTAATTTCACAGCATTTATGTTTCTGTGCATCATTACCTCTTGGAAATATGATATAGTATCTATTACGTATCTAACATCACTACTTCCAGATACTAGGCTCTTTTATTCAAGTCTTTTCCAGTTTCAAGTCATTAACTTGAAGCTCTCTAATCCTTATTTCAGCTTCTCTCAAACTTTCCATCAACTCCTAAGCCGTTCCTAAAACTATATTTATCAAAAAACTTCGCAATCCATTTATTTCAATAATCTTACTATATACTCTCAACGATTCTTGATCCACTTGCAACATGAAAACCTTATGCTGCGCTTCATAGTCACTGTATAGTTCGTGGTTCCCCAATCCCTTAAGCTTTGGGAATATAAGAAGCATAAAACCTAGCAAAATAGACCCTGAACTTCCTAAATCTAGATACAGATTTCCTTTCAGCCATGTAAAGGGCCACTTGTTTTACATTAGTTAAATCACACAATGTTGCAATACATAGCCCACCAATCCATCATGCATCCATCTTCTTCAATACTTACTTTTTATAGGAAATATAGAAAAAACTTATTCATAGCTTAATTAAATTTACATTAAAGGTGAAAAGGTGTTGCACTAAACAAAAACATCCAAATAGAGCACATTAGCAACTCAAGAAACCAATACAACAAAATTCCACAAAGCAGTAACTAAGTTCCCAGAAGGAAAAAAACAATGTTTCTTGATGACCAATGAGGCATAAGACTGCACACTCTTTTTTTATGTAATGAACCCTTGACACCAGATAACAAACGCGATAAAGTATTGGTCAAAGCCATTTCAAGAATTTATCTTTCTTTACCAACTAGGCGCATGAACTCAAATAGCAGGGTTGAACAAAGCAACCAATTAAAAAATATTAGTAAAAAAGAATATAGCAGGAGAAATATATAAAAAATTGTAAATAAATTCAGACATAAATGAATTACCAGTTACACCACTGCGAGCATAACCTCCTCTTCTAACATTACGATCAGAAGATGTATTTGATTTCGGTCCTTGACCTGCACTCTCAAATGGTCTTCTTGGCTCCACAGAAACTTTGTGCCCCATACTCTGAAGCTACAAATACACTAAAGCAGTAAAACTTTTGCTTTACGATAAGTTCCCCTTGCAACAATTTAAAATGATTTAACATTTAAAAAGTTACAATAATGTTAATTGCAAATAAGAACTTAGTGAGTCCTACAACTTTATGACTCTCTCCAAATAATTAAACTACAAATGAGAAATCATATAATGATAACTTTTGCACAATGTGATCTTTCAAAAGCATTTACAATTTAGCTAAAATTCAAGTGAAGTCCACCAACAAGCTCAGTTAGGAGCACCAAGAAGTTTCTTGAAGAATTGAAACACACAATGTTGAATTACTCCAGAGTTCATTAATTGATTACCAAGGCTCATCATATCACAATAGATTAATTGGTTGCATTTTTATGGTGAGCCATTGATTCCACAAAACATAAATTCCGTGATAAGAGCATATGCTAGTTACTGAATTTCTGGGGATCATTTTGCCAAGAAGACCGTGAATTTAATAAGTCAAATAAAAACCAGTAGATTAGCGGTACAGTAGTGTGTCTCTGTCACTATTGACTGATGACTTTGTATTATGCAGGAAGCCAAAACCCCAAAAGTATAAAACCACCCATGCATGTCTCGGTAGTCTAAAAAGCTCATTACACCCTTATTTTGAAAAGACTTAAGATCTTCATACAGAACAAGAAACTACTGTCCAGTTGTTCACATGTATGATGTTAAGATATAATGTCACGTAAAGCTAAAGGTGGGAAAAGAATGATCCACAAAGAAAATAAACGATAATTCAAAGCCAAACCAAAACTTACATTAGAGGATACCTCCTTCCTTTTATCTCTTTTTCTCTTCACCAAATGAAATGGGTCTGGATAAAAAACAGGTGAGAATAATCATAGTAAGAAAACTGCATTAATATATAGTACAAGAAAACTGCAAGCAAAAAAGGTATAACACAATCAACAATGAAAATTTGTGTTGACAGGTTCTAAGAAAATAAAGCAAAACTAATACAATTTCCAATACAGTCTCAAAAGTTTAATGCAAGCATATAAATATGTACATATATGAAAATATAGCTAAAGAGAAACTTTTAATGGGAGGAGATTCTCAAAAATCAACATTAGAAGCCACCAACAATCAAAATCTTAGTTGACCTATCTATGGGTTTCAGCAAAGCAAAGTACCAACTCCGTGAGAAAATAATCACAACTGAAAGAGATACTAGTATAATGAAGGAATAAACGCCTAGGAGATTGAAAACCACTACTTCTTTCCAAAAAGTAATTGGTTTACCACTCCCAGTCACTAAAATTCAGCCTGAAAACTAAACAGTTCAATAATTAGGCTCATGAAACTGAGCTCAAGATGAAATTTTTAGACTGGCATAACCTCAATAACACAAACATTAGTTCTACATTCCACAAAACAACTCACAAACAAAATACTTAACTAAAATAACCCAAACCGTTGACAATTTAAACTCGGTAGAAAGCAAAATAAAAGCCTCAGTGAGCACCACAGTAACCTCTCAATAAGGAAAATACCAACCTAAAAAATAACAGAAAACAAACAAAACCCAATACCCAATACCCAAAACATGGCAAAAAAACCACGGAGCTACAAAACTATGCTTCACAGAGTCAAAGGCAGATACCTTGGTTCAGCAATTTCTGGGCGGTTTCATTAGGATCCATGTCGGTTTCTTTGAGAGCCCAATAAATATCAATATCGGAGTGATTGCCCACTATTTCTTTGAGGGATTGAATTGTTTTTCTCACTCCCGCAGAGATTATCTGAGTCCCACCTTCGATTCGCGAACCAGAGACCATCTCTAAACTCTACTTCGTCCCAAATTAAAATTCAAAAAAAAAGGGAAAAATAGAAAAACCCAAATATTATATGATAAATATACGTTATATAGTGCAATATATATAGGACGGAATCAAAACCCTAATGTAGCAGAGGGCGGGAGAGAGAAGCCAGGGCTAGGGTTTTGTGAGCATCCGATGAGAAAAGGGAGAGAGTGAAAGAGAGGGTTTTGAAAACGTTTTTACCACTCAAAGACTTCAGGGGCAAAATCCTGAAATTTTGAGAATTGAAGGAGTTGCCCTTGATGTTTAGGTTAAATTACGGGACAGCCCACTGTACGGCTTGGAATTCAAACCCCAATTTTCTTCTAAGTTCTCCCACTACACTAGTGGCTGGGTCGTGGTGTTAACTAATTTAAAATTTTGCATTAATTAATTCTCTATTATTGTTAGAATAAATTACAAATTTGGTTTATATAATTTTAGGTATTGTCTCTGTAGTTTTAAATTTGCACATTGTATTTAGCAGTCGGTAAAAAAAGTCTGAATCGTCCAAATAGGTTACACCAAAAAGTAATTTGGCAGACAGAGTTAGTTGACCAGGGCAATGTGCTTGTAACTCAAGTTATTAAGAGCATTTACTTATGCACACGAGGTTTTATATTCGATTTTCCTTTCCCCCAATATCTCTTGTATCTATATAGTTATTTAACAATTACATGTGCCACACTCACATATTTCGAACTAGGCCTGTTTGGAAGTGCTTCTGAAAGGGTTAAGTGCTTCCAATAGTGTTTGACGAACAAATAAAGAAGTGTTTATGGATCATAGAAGCACTTTTTGAAGAAGCACTTGAGAGGAACCTCAAGTGTTTTTGGCTTTTTTCAACTAGCACTTGGATTTCTTAATTCTATTATAATAAAAATGTTTTGGCTAGAAGCACTTATAGAAATGTTTAGTGCCCACGACTTGTTTTGGATTAACTTCAGGTGGGTATATTGACACACAAGCTTTATGTGGTTTTGGATTAACTTCAGGGGGGTATATTGACACACAAGCTTTATTATTACATATGCACATGGGTGGCACCACATTGGAAAAGTGAGCCAAACACTCCCCTCCCCCCTTCCCCAAGTGTATCCGGGTTTGATTCACCTATGAGACAATCTTAGAGCACTTCCACCGTTTGAAATGCCAAAAGACAAGGGGAGTTACTATTCAAGTGAATATTAACTGCCCTATGATGCATTCTAACCATTGTCATGGCAACCCAAAGGTAACCATTATTCACATCAAATATGAGAGGAATTGTATGAAGTTTTGGTATGGAAAGTGAAGAACATGGCTAGATATTTAGAGAAGAAAAAAAATCTGAATTTTATTTTATTTTATCCTTTTTTTCAAAAAAATTTATTTCAATTGGTCGCTGACGTCAACTTGCCCAGACAAATCTTGCCTTTGGGTGTGCCAAGGCTTGGTAGGGCCTAGCTCCTACCAGGGCTGGATCGCACCGCTGGTATGGGTTTTGAGAAACTAGGGGGCCTTTTGCTTGAGCAAGCCCTTTCATTGGAACTGCTCTTAAGGCAACCCAATATAATACTCTCCCTCCCCCTTCCTAGTGAATGAACCCAAAAAAAGGCTTTATTATTACATACATGATGAGAGTTATATTTTTTATTTTAACAAAAATATTTTAAGGTACATTTAACTTGATAAGAGTTAGAATTAAAATAAATAAATTGAGGTACATGCGATGAATCGAATTTATGAACCAATTTGGAAGTAAAACAATGTGTGATGATTACTATGTACTAGTCTTATTTTATCTTTTTCAAATTATTTTATTCAATGCGTTTAAGGTGATAAGGATATATTCAATATTTTATATAAGAATGAGTAAAGTTATGTTTATTTGCATAAATATATTGTTATTGTAATCAATGAGTTTTCTTTTTATCGCATAATAACTTAATTTCCAATGTTGAGAAGAAACAAAATTATGGCATTTTTGTGTTTTTAGCATTACACCGTATTTTATTAACAATAGAACCACCACGAAAGAAAAAAATGCATAGAAATTATTTTTTGGACCTCATGCTAAATCCATACACAACACTAAATTTCGCCCAATTCACTTAGAAGTGAGGATAAAGGATTTTGAAGTGATGAGATTATGAAAGTGAGGAAATAAGATTTTAAAGTGCGGAACTACAAAGTGATGGGATTAGTAAAGTGGCAAATTATTTTGTTGGTGGGATTTGTTTTGGTGTTTGCTACATTACTTTTATACCATTCAGAAAAACAATGTTGGCAAGTCCTTACTTAGTTAGGATTTTGGTTCCTTATTTCATTAGAATTTTGGTTACTTACCAATTATTATTTAGTCCTATTGTAATAGAGATTTACTTCCTATTGTAATTTAGATATATTTCCTATTTTATTTAGGGTTAACATATCTTTGTACTTGTATAAATACCTCCATATTGGAGAAGAATAATAATATGAGCGAATATGAGCGTATCTTAGCATAACTGAATATTTACCCTACTTTATTTGACAAGGTATAAGAGCCAGGTTTTTTTGTGACCTGTGCTTGCGTTCTCCTTGAAATTAATGTAGAGGGGGAGTGAAAAGGGATCTGCTTCTCTTTCCTATACTTTATCTCTCTGCCAAATTGAGAGTCGTTGGCACTTGTCATTCCTAACCCATCATGGGTCTTCATCTTGTATAGTCACCATCTTTTGTTCATCCTCTCATATGTGTTTTCACCGCACCTAGCCTTCACATGCTTCTTTGCTACTATTCCAAAATTTTTATTTTTTCATCTTTGTATGCCAGATGGTCTTTCTTGATGTCTCAGCTTCTCTATCTTTGAAACTTCATAACAAGTCTCTTTACCCCGTGAGCCTCGTCACCACTCATCGAGCCGTTGCTTTCCTCCGTGAGCCTCGTCACCGCTCACCGAGCTGTTGTTTTCCTCCGCGAGCCTCGTCACCGCTCGCCGAGCCTTTCCTTTGACTGTTCTTCTGGTCTCTGTCTTCTTCGACTGTTCTCTTGAGTTGCCTTTCCGCTTCTCAGTTTTGAGCACCTTATCTTTGTCTTTGTCTCTGTTCATGATTTGTTGGGTTTCCTCCCTTACTATTCTCCTTTTCTAAAGTGTTTTTTTCATGGGACAACCGTATGCTACCACCTTCCCCTCTTGCAAGTCTCGTGGCATGTTTGAGTCTCTTTACTATTATTTCAATTTCTCTTCTTCCAAATCTCGACCCTTTACCAGTGTCGGATTTGAAGGGGAGTGTTGCAACTTTATTTGGGTGTTACTTTCTCCAAATCTCAACTCTCATACATCGTCGGATTTGAGGGGGAGTGACACCGCTGCTCATCTATTCTACTGCAATTTAACCACCTATCTGCCATGGCTGATTCTGCTACATCTCAGTATTAGTCAGTGCATGTTTCTCAAGTACCATTGATCATATGGCTCCATCGACCCCTTCTCTTCAGGGGGAGAAGGGGAGTGAAGAGAAGTTGTCTCTGCTGTTGTTGGTGCCAATGCCTTGTATTGCTGTTGATGATGCATGTTATGTCTCTGCCTTGTTGCTCCTGCCCGTTATGGTGCTAGTATTGTTGCTCATGCCTTTGCTGGTGTGTTT